TGGTGTGTGGAAATCCCTGATTTTAAATCCCTGATTTTGGCACCACCTGGAGCTGCTTTGGCAGAGGAGCTCGATGGCTGCCTGTGCCCAGTCTGTGGTGGCAGTTCCCAGTGTCACCCCAGGTCCAGCCCCTCTCTGTGCCTGTCCCCAGCCTCTCCAGCAGCTCTGGAATTCCCTCCTGGGCTGTTCCTGCTGGGAAACCCCCAGACCACTCAGAATTCCCACCCTGCATGGCTGCAGGTGTCACGATTTCCTTGGCCTCATCTTTTCCTTGGTCTCTTTGTGGCTGTTTAATTCAAATTTCATCATTCCTGGTGTCGGGAACCTTCCCAAAATGGAATTCCTGTCTGACAGCTTCCCAGGTTATTCTGATTTTTAAGCTGAGCTCGCAGGTGGGAGGTGTGATGGAAAAAGCAAAATCCTGCAGCAGCAATTTGGGGGTGCTGATCTGAGGCACAGGGATGATTCTCTCTCAGGAATTTAATCCCCCCAACCTCATTTTCCATGTTTATCCAGCAAAAATGCAGCTAAAAATAGTTCAAAAGAAAAATCCCTGAATCTGCTGTGGATGTTTCAGGCTGTCAAACGCAGAGCTTTGACTTTCCTCATTGCCTGGGTGAATATTCCGTGTTCCCAATGAAAATAAGGAGTGTGTGGCTGTTCCAGAAGGGCTGATGGCAAAGCCAGAAAGATAAAATTCAAAATCTGTGTGAAAACCATGGGATCTGCTCTGCTGAACCCACTCCCAGAGGGATCTGTTCCCTGGTCTCCCAGTTTGGGAATTTTGGGCAAGGATTGTTGTTGTGTTTTTAACAGATCCAGGTGTTTGAGGACGGAGCGGACACAACATCCCCAGAAACCCCAGAATCTGCTGCCATGAAGGTCCCTAAGAGAGGTATGATCCAGCTGGGAAATCCTTCCCAGAGAGGTGGGAAATCCTTCCCAGAGAGGTGGGAAATCCTTGGTGGAGGGGGTGGCAAATTATTCCTGAAGGGGATGGGGAATCCCTCCTGGAGGAGTGTGAAATCCCTCCTGGAAGTGTGGGAATCCTTCCTGAATAAATGGGAAATCTGTCCTGGAGGGGTTGGAATCCTTCCTGAATAAATGGGAAATCTCCCATTGGAAATTTGGAAATTGGAAGAGTGGGAATCTTTCCTGTAGAGAAAGGAAATTTCTTTTGGAGGAGTGGGAATCCTTCCTGGAAAGATTGGAAATCCCTCCTGCAGAGGTGGGAAGTCCTTCCCAGGTGAGATGGGAAATCCTTCCTGTAGAGAAGGGAAATCTCTCCTGGAGGAGTAGGAAATCCTTCCTGGGGAGATTAAAAATCTCTTTTAGAGGAGTGGGAATCCTTCCTGGAGAGATGAGAAATCCTTCCTGTAGAGAGGGGAAATCTCCCTTGGAAGATTGGGAATCCTTCCTGGAGAAAAGACAGGAAATTTCTCCTGGAGGGATTGGGAATCCTTCCTGGAGAAATGGGAAATCTCTCTTGGAAGAATAGGAATCCTTCTTGGAGAGACTGGAAATCCTTTCTGGAGAAATTAGAAATCTCTCTTGGAGGAGTGGGCATCCTTCCTCAAAAAATGGGAAATTTCTCTTGGAAGAGTGGGAATCCTTCCTGGAAAGATTGGAAATCTCCCTTGGAGGAGTGGGAATCCTTCCTGAAAGGACAGGAAATTTCTCCTGGAGGGATTGGGAATCCCTCCTGAATAAATGGGAAATCTCTCTTGGAGGAGTGGGAATCCTTCCTGGAGAGATGAGAAATCCTTCCTGTAGAGAGGGGAAGATTGGGAATCCTTCCTGGAAGGACAGGAAATTTCTCCTGGAGGGATTGGGAATCCTTCCTGGAAAGATTGGAAATCTCCCTTGGTGGGATGGGAATCCTTCCTGGAGAAATGGGAAATCTCTCTTGGAATAATAGGAATCCTTCTTGGAGAGACTGGAAATCCTTTCTGGAGAAATTAGAAATCTCCCTTGGATGAGTGGGAATCCTTCCTGAATAAATGGGAAATCTCCCTTGGAAGAGTGGGAATCTTTCCTGGAAAGATTGGAAATCTCCCATTGGAGATTTGGAAATTGGAAGAGTGGGAATCCTTCCTGTAGAGAAGGGAAATTTCTTTTGGAGGAGTG